AGTGGTGCAGGTGTAACTCCCAGGTATTTTTCTCCTAAGGGGCTGGATATTCGCCAAGGTGGAGATTTGTTATGGTATGGCTCATATACCATATTGGGACAGACGCTGGATCGAAGCGGAGCGGAGCGGAGCGTAGAATCTGTCCAAATTGGGAAGTTACGTGGGTTGGGGTGCGGGGGCAAAGCCCCGCGGTTTGGTACAGGGGTAATGTTGTAATTACATATTGTGCCTAGGTTTACTCCTGGGGTTATAAATAGGCCTGTTAGTAACCCCAGGAGGTATCCCTCTATTCTGTAACCCTTTTCTGATTATTGAAAGGAACTCGCCGCTCTGCTCCCGAGGACGTAGGCATCTTTGCCGAACCTCGTTAAATCTCTGTGTTCTTCTGGATTTGTGTCGATTACTGTTTTCTTCGCCCTAATTTTTCTCAACACTTTGCATGAACAAATTTTTGTTTTCGCAATTAATATAGCATCATGAATGTCATTCTTTTGCAGATAATAAGCCCCTCTATTTTATATTTCATGATGAACAAAATTTGATTCACACTGTATCAAAAATTTCAAAATAATATCAGCCAAAGCATGCCTACCCTAAGCACCAACCACCTTTTTTATGGAGTTAAGGAAGTCCAAAATATTTTTAAAATGTAAAAATAAGGCTAACATTGGACACCACATTCAAAAATTATTGAAAATGATCAAATGACGAAGAAGGAAGCATTTTGTCATAAGAAGAGAGAAAAATGTTCAACCAAGTGCAATTACAGAAGGCTCTATCAATTATGGTGTGAATCTCAATATCAATTTTATTATATGACTAAGTTAAAGAGAGACCTACGTTAAACAATCTTAATAATCAAATACTAAAAAAATTATTTATTGAATTATTTCATTTTTGCTAAAATAATAGGCTTTACCTCTAAGTTTCTCACAACAAAAAAGAATGCAATTAGAGCCTCTAAGAACTAATCATCTTTAGTTTACAGAAGAAAAAAACTCACACAAGACAACCCGAAATCTTAATGTGCAAATGACATCATTATTAGCATATATATAAGTTGGAATCTAATAAAGTTAATAAACATATCTACTATGGCATTAAATGAAGACAGAGCTTTCATCCTGAAAAATGATCCCTATTAGGTCCAAACCTTTTAGAGATAAGTGGTTATCAGAATAAATTGTTAGAGGGCTCACAGAGGACCTGTAAGTGAAATTTGGGGTATTTATAGGTTGAGGAAAGTGGTTCAAGTCAATTAGAATTAGGGGAGAGGATTGTGGCCAAGAGACAAGGAATTCAATACCAATATTAGTGTTAATTAATTCAAAGTAAGAGACTTGGTTACTGCAATTATTGTCGAATAAGCAAATAATCATATATAGTTCTATCTAAGAGAAGCGAAGAGGAATGAAGTGCCTTCTAAAAGTAGCTCGATGGCTACTTTTATCTCCATGAACCAAAGTGGAGGGTGAGATGCTTAATGAGACAAAAATGCTTAACATGTGTGAAAGAAGCACAAGGACATGTTATCACTTTCATTGAGAATATAATGAAGAAAAACTAAAGATTAAGTGATCGAAACTCTTCCCCTACAAAAGCGTACAGTCAAATTTCCCTAGATTGAGCTTGAGCTAGAGTTCACATTAAAGTCAAGCTCAAGTTGAAACATCTTAAATCTACTCAACATTAACCAAACTTGGCAAGTTTTGAACAACCATCCAACGTTAGCTAGTTTAGGTGTTCAACCTCATCAATTCAACAGGTGCGAACAAACCAGCTTACTTATACAACTTAACCTCCTAAATTCATCAAATGTTGGATAGAGCATTATTACACATCAAATTTAGACACACAATACACACATATATATATTCAATGTAGCACTTTGTGTAGTGTATCTTATAGCCCACCCAAACTTATAAATAGGATGGTCAATCCACAGGTTAGGGGGAACTTTCGAAACCACTCTACAATGAATAAAAAATTGAAGCTTCTTCAATTTATCATTTTATCTTTTTCTTTATCTCTGTTCCCAATTTTCTTTTCAAAATTGCTCCAACTTAGGTGGTGTAATTTCACTTGAAGCAACAAAAGGTAAGGCATAAATTTGTGATGGTTTAGGTTGTCAAAAGTTTTGGAATATCCACTCCACTCACCACTTTGGATAACTTCTCTTCATTTCAACAACATAGGCGAAAAATTATTAAAATTACCAAAGGATTAGGATGCAACCTTTGGACAAGTAACCAAAAGAGTACAAGCATCACAAAAAAACAACCGGAGCACAAGAAAATGAGAGGAAGACGCACCACCACATGAAGAAAACAAAGGGAATATGGAACCGTAAGAGAGTGTTTGGTAGCACTATTAACCGAATTTATTGCCGGATTAACAAATCCGGCCAAAAATATAAAATATGCAAGTTCCATGAATTTAAGAAATCTCGGATTAAGGGTCGAAATTTTGATTTTGATTCATCTTAAATCCGGATTTACGTGCAGCCAAACACCCCTGAGACGGCTTCCTCTAAACGATGATGTTCCAAAATCCAAATCAATAAACAAAATTACAATATTCTGATAAGAACAGTAGATAGTTTGAGAAAGCCAAACTACAAAAGCTTCTCAGCTGTCTAATTAGTTACAAAGCTAGCAAAGTTAGCTTCTGGCTCATCTCCTCCTTGGTAGCAACATCCTTGGAATCAGTTCTGCCGCTCAGTTGATAAGGCGACAGCGCACTAATCCTGAAAAAATTTCCAACAAAAATCTTACCAAATAAGCGTTCTTTTAAAGGAAAATTTAGTTTTTGCATGTATGCAAATGAACATACAGTCAAAAGTTCACTACCTCTCCTTTCTCTTCTGCAGAAAGCGGTGAAGTGATGCCTTCCTCGCAATAGGGAGATCTGTTTCCAACATATTGATAAGATAAAAAGCAAGGAATTCGGAGGCCAGGGAGAAATTTTTGCATGAAAAGATGCCAACTTGCAAAACCTGAATTCAATGGCTCACCAGAAAAATTGGGCTGAGCTCTGGCGGGGAAGTTGGCTGGCGCCGAGAGGCTAGGGAGACCCGTCGCCGGTGTAGACGGAGCCATGGCATTTGCAGATCCAGAAGTAAAGTTCTCCCCTTTGCTTGCAATCTGAATCAGATCCTTGGCTTTCTCAGCCGGGAAATTGTCGAACACACGCACCTTGCCGCCATAGAATATTGTGAGCTGAGCTTTCTCCGATTCCCTGCAAAACGACACCCCTCAGGCTCAGCAGAGTAAAGAAAAGATGATGGATTTCTCCAGCAAATCAATGAAAAATAAGTTGGATGGGCAGAAACCCAGGACATACTTGGCCTCTGCAGGCGGCAAGTTCAAACTGACACCTACTTGCTGAGGGAAGACCTCCATGGATCTCTCAGCGTTGAATGACAACGAATCCTTCTTCGTGCCCTCGCAGTCGTTGCCGGAGCCGTCAACCCCAGGAAGCAAGTTCATGGTCGTCGGCGAGTGGTAGGTTTCAGATTTCCCTAAAAAGTATCGATAAACAGAATCAAATCAATAAGCTTTCCCTCTTACAAACCGCAAAACAAGTTCTGAGATGCACAAGTTCCAACTTTTGAATTGAAATCATTAACAAACCAATTTCAAATCAGTTAAAACAGATCCAAACAAATAACTTTAAAAAAAAAAAAACCTAAATTAGAGGAATCAAGAGCGCGAGATGGCATGCCGATCCCCAAATCAGCGAAGCAGCCTTTCTCCTTGATGTAGTGGCTCAAGAGGCTGCAGGTGAGGGAAAACCCCGATTTCTCCGGCCTATTTGTCATTTCAACGACCGTCGCCGGCGGAGCAACTCGATTCACAGTTTAAATTCAAGATCCGATCGACTCTTTCTGCCTCGATTGATTGGTCTGTGCGTTTCTCTCTCGGGCTGAATGTATTTGAACAGTCCATCAATGGCTGGGAATTAGCGCACGTGATTCTCAAGAGAAAAGAAGGACAAATACTTTTTTTGAATTAAATTAATAATTAGCCTTGTTTCTTTTTTTCGGGAAAAAAAATTTTTGTTTTCTTTTTTTATTAAAAAAAGTAAAGGGAAATTAAGCACGTGGTGCAGGAATCGATCCATCATTCAATAAATAAATAAATAAATTGATCCATGCTTAGATTATAATATTGATGGATGCTTATGAATTTTATTTAAAATTTTAATTTGATCTTATTACTAAATAATATCATAATTTTACTAACCCAAAGAAATTGTGAAGAGTAAGAGAATGCATGATAGAGAAAATAAAATTCGTTTAATAAGTTCAAGAGAGTGCATGAGATGACAGAAAATATACACACTCTCTTATCTTAAGAAGTCATAATTGGGAACTATTAACTCTTCTCAGGATTTGTTATATGCAGATAAGAATTTGAAGTCTTCAATGCTAAAGAAAAAAAAACAATAGAATGAGTTATACATGTAATAGATATACTAAATAATACATAATGTGTGAGGCTTTAGCATATGTATGGCCTCAAATAAAAATAAATAAATGATCTTTAGGTTTAGGGTTCTGTCGCTAAGTCATCTCAGAGCATTGGTTGAGTGTCTTCTCAAGATTTAGTAGTGTACATCGAAAATGTGTCGACGATGATTCTGAGGAGACTTGACAGTACGAAAAAGAAGAGCACAATAAAAGAGATTCCAACAACAGAAGACCAAAAGTCTCACTTGTCTAATAGAGTGGAGTCGTCTGAGTCAACACAAGCAAGACCAAAGCTGACAGAGCTATGAAAGATGACCGAATGACCCTAATTCGAGTCGTTCGATCATAAAGGTTAAATATATTGAGCCTGTGATTCACCTACCCCACTTACCACGTCTCACCTACCTCTCTCCCACCTACCTCTCTCCACATATCTCTCTCCCGTTTTTTTAAATAGCCTCTTTTGACCTGTTATAAGAGCTAAGTCAAATCCTCTTGAGAGCTAAGAGAGAGAAAAGACGAGAGAAAGAGAAAGAAAGTTTTCTTGTAAACATAGAGGCACTCGACGGTGTAATTTCTCGAAGTAATAAAATTCTCTGTAGTTTCGTGGACGTAGGAAATTTAATCGAACCACGTAAATCTACGTGCTATTTTCTGGTTTGCAATTTTTCAATATGGTTTTTCACTTTATTGCTGTCGTTTTTCATAATAATTAGTATCAGAGCTGTGGTTTCAGATCGAAGGAAGAACAATGGGCGGCGACGAAGTGATGTCATCGGGGATCGAGAAATTTAATGACACAGATTTTGGTTACTGGATGATATGATAGAGGACTACTTCTATGGGAAGAAACTTCATCTGTCATTGCTGGGAAAGAAGCTGGAAAAGATGGACGAGACAGAATGGAATCTGTTGAATCGACAAGTTCTGGGGGTTATTTAATTGACCCTATCAAGATCTGTTGTCCACAACGTCATGAAGGAGAGGACTATTGCATATCTCACGACGGCTTTATCAGGTATGTATAAAAAGCCATCAACGAATAACAATATGCACTTGATGAAAAAGTTATTCAACTTGAAGATGATGGAATGTCTGTCTGTTGTTTAACACTTGAATGATTTCAATAACATCACAAATCAATTGTCGTGTGTTGAAATTGATTTCTATGATGAGATACATGTGCTGATATTATTGTTATCATTGCTAAATAGCTGAGAAGCCATGAGGATGATAGTTAGCAGTCCTGCAGGTAAATCCAAACTAAAATATGATGATATTCGTAATTTCATTATGACTTAAAAGGTGCGCTGAAAAGATTCTAGCTAGACATCGGGTTCTAGTTCGACACTGATTGTTGATTTTAGAGGGAGATCACCAAACATGAACTCTAATAGAAGAAGATCAAAACCAAAGTCTGGTCTGCATGCAACATGCTGGAATTGTGGCAAGGCTGACCACATAAAAAAGAACGACATGAATCCTAAGAAGAAGGAGAATGATGATGTTAATGTCGTAACTAAAGAAATATAAGATGCGTTATTGCTGGCAGTTCATAGCTCTATTGACGACTGGATACTGGATTCAGGGGCTTCCTTCCATACATCTTTCCACCGGAAGTTATTGTGAAACTATATTGCAGGTGACTTTGGGAAGACATATTTAACTGATGGAATAGCTCTAAACTTGGTGGGGATGGGATACGTTAATATTATACTCCCTAACAAGAGCAAATGGACTTCGCAAAATGTCAAGCACATTCCTGAGTTGAAGAAAAACCTCATTTCTTTTAGGCAACTCAATGAGGGTGGTCATTCAGTAATGTTCCCAAACAATAAGGAGCATTAATACTAGCTCAGTGTAAGAAAATTGACACACTATATATGACTACAGACTTACTCAACACTGTTGTTAATACAGTTGCAGAGAGCACAACAGATCTGCGGCACTGCAGACTTAGTCACATGAGCTAGAGCTATAAAGAGATCTTGCAAGATGATAATTCAAGCAAGTGGGAGCTGACCAAGAAGGAGGAGACAAATTTTCTGCCAGGGAATCAGACTTGGGAGCTTACAAAACTTCCACCAGTGAAGAAGGCATTGCACAACAAGCGGGTGTATCTGGTGAAGACTGCACTTGATGACAGTAAGAGGTACAAGTCTGGACTTGTTGACAAAGTCTTTCAGCTGAGGCAGGATATTGCCCATGCAGTGGGAGTTGTAAGCAGATTCATGAGTAACCCAGGAAAAAGCTTGGAGGTACAGGGCTATGTTGACGTTGATATGTCGACTAAGGGTGCTACTCTTGAGAAACTAAAGTTGTGGTCGACTTCAGTTTTTCTTCTAGCATGAAGACATGATTTGAGTTGCAAAGGTGGAGGATAACATATTTTAAGAAAAAGTACGGTACATCCAACAGAAGATGCAACCTGTAGGCGGTGCAGTCAGTGTCCCAGTTTCAGAGAGGAAGAATTGTTAAATATATGGAGCTTGTGACTTACCTAACTCACCTACCTCTCTCACACCTACCTTTCTCCACATATCTCTCTCCCATTTTCTTTAAATAGACTCTTTTGGTCTGTCATAAGAGTTAAGCCAAGTCCTCTTGAGAGCTAAGAGAAACAAAGGAAGAGAGAAAGAGAAGAGAAGTTTTCTTGTAAACATCGAGGCGTCTGACAGTGTAATTTCTTGAAGTAATAAAATTTTTGTAGCTCCGTGGACATAGACCAATTAGCCAAACTACGTAAATCTGTGTGTTATTTCCTGGTATGCAATTTTTCAATCCGATTTTTTCACTTTATTGCCATCATTTTTCATAACAATAAACACAACACAGATGTATCTTAGCCAAACGACATAAAGAACCCGACTTGAGAGAAGATCTAACCTCTCAATATCTCCAATCATACTAAGGATATCCAAAAGCTTCATATTTATCAACAAGAGTTAACATCCAGACTAACTCAACCGATTGAACCAATCGTGTTAACTCGAAGACAATTGAGCTTAATCGACCGACAATGCCGACTAAGACTACCCGATCGAAGAGGCCCTACCAAGTCGAAGTCATACAAGCTCAATCAAACAAGCCAGATAACAGCCGAGTGATATACTCATACCTGTAAAACAGCTAGAATACCATGTAGAACCCAGATTAAAGTAAGCATAGAAAATATAGCATCTTCATATTATACTATCTCCCTTATAAATTGGGAAATCATTTCATAAATAAGTCACAATGTATTACTGTTCAGTGCTCTCTCTCTCTCTCTTGCTGGCTCTCTCTCCACCTCCCCCACCTCCACACCTACCCCCACCCCCCGCTTTATTCTGCATTCCCTCGGTGTGAATCATGAAAAAATCATGATTCAACAAGTAGTTTATCTGGTCTAAATTTGTCTAGTGAGTCTTTAACATAACCGGGGATTTGGATTGATTGAAGGAATGCATTTGGCTCATGTGTGATGGCAAAACATCGCTCAGACAAGGAAAATTTTATAAAATATTGGTGAGACCTGAAATGTTTTATGGTGCAGAACGTTGGCTTATAAAAGAGAAGCATAAATTAAGTGTTGCTAAGATAAAAATACTTAGGTGGATGAGTGGTTTGACGCTTAGAGGCAACATGCAAAACTAATGTATTCGTAAAACTGTTGGTATAGCTTCAACGGTGGACAAAATTAGAGAGAGTCATCATAGATGGTTTG